CCATATAATTGTGATTCCCACCACTATATTTCTACTATAAAATTAACCTGAAAACACCATACACCATCTCACAAACCTACCACCTCCATCGTTCAAACCTATGTGAAAGTTTGACGATCATGGTGGTGGCAAATTTTCATTCCCAAATTTGAAATTTTGCAGATTTTCATCGCCAAATTTGGAATATTTTCATTAACTAATATATCTAATTTTCAAATCTTAATTACAATGATTTCGGTAGCAAAAAAAATATGGTTATGCTTGTGATGACAGATTTAATAGAGGTTGTTGAGCTAGTGATGGCTATTGTTGGCGGTGATTATATGAGACGGTGGCCGTTTATTTGCTTTCAGTTTGTGACATACAAGTAACAAAGATTAGGGCAACACATATGTCACTTACTATTTTCATGGTATTTTACTTGATTTTTTTTCTTTCACTTGTTTCCTATTCGATTCGTGGCATTCAGGGCCGGTCCTGAGCACAGGCAAATAAGGCCCGTGCCTCAAGCCCAAAATCACAAAGGGCCTATTTTGGTTCAAAGTTTTTATTTTTTATTTTTTTTATTTTATTAAAGAAGGAAAAGGAAAGTGAGATGATTGAGATATTTGTTTGTTATTTTAATATTAAGTTTTAAGTTAACAATATGTTGCATAATATATCGTTAAATTTTGTATTTACGTTAATTTTGGGGGTCTAATTTTTGAACCTCGCCTCGAATCCCGACAATCACAAGACCGACCCTGGTGGCATTGGGAAGGGATGGAGGTAGTGGAAGGTGACAATGATAGTAAAAAATAATGCAAGACATGATAATGTATAACAATAAATAGTAACACATTTTACCATGTAATAAAAAATTGTGTATGCTCGTAAGAATAAAAAATAATCTCTGCAAGTAACATATATGTTACTTTAGTTTAGGTCATGTTTGAGCTGCATTCTTTTAAAAAAATATATTTTTAAATAGTAATTTGACATTTTTTATACAACATATTTTTTGATAAAATAATATTACATGTAAATCTAATTTTTTTTAATTACATATTTTTCATTGATTTAAAGGCTTTTTGATCACATTAATTTTGCACAATAATGAATTTTTGGACCGTTGCTCATTATTTGCCTGCCAACCCACGTGATTTACTCAGAGACCAACACTTCTTTTCCAAAATTTGCCCTTGCCCGCTAACTTTCCATCCCAAAATCACTTGGCTAAGAGACCATGGGTAAAATTGAAATTTTATGCCTTTTGAATTCAAATCAAAACATATAATAATGTGTAGGTCCTATATTGATGTGATGGAAAAGATGTATTTTTGGGTGAAAATGGGGATCAAACGGGGGCTTTGATCTCCATTAAATTACATTCTATTACATTCTATTTTTCTCTCTCCTATTTTTAACCACACAATCTTTCATAAAATAATATTACACGTATTTCAAAAATTTTTCCTTCTTTTTCAACCACTCATTTTTTCAACAAAACACTATTCCCCCATTTTCATTACCAAAAATGGGGGCCAAACAGGGGCTTAGTATTTTTGAGGGTGTTTGAGAGACATTTTTTCATAAAAATGTATTTTTAAATAATAAATTGATGAGAAATAAGTGATCGAAAAATAAAAATAAAAAATTTGATTTACGTGTAATATTATTTTAATAAAGAATGTGTGGTTGAAAAAAAAAGGAAAAAAATATTTTGAAAAAAAGGGAACTAGACGAAAATTTAAAACATATTCTTTCAAAATAATGTAGTTCGAACACACATGATAAAAAACATAAAACATGTAAAATAAAATAATAATAATTGATGGTGGGAGGAATATGATTTTAATTGTTTTCAACTTTTTCAAACATTGTCGGGCCCCACGTCTGAATGATAGCAGACAGTACAATTATTGGTTCACATGGGTTTCGCTACAAGTTTGTTAATGCAGAAAATGGCATTTCTACCCCTAGTTTTGCCATCTAGTTGAATGATGCAGGGGTAAGAATGGCATTGCACAATTAAAATGGAGGGTATATATGTCAATGGATTCCAACGGTTCAGTGGTTTTTTTGGATTCTCTAACATTTGAAATGAAATGAACTGAAGTGTATACAATTCTGTTCACCAAATTGAGTTGAATAATGAGCCAAAATGTGAAATAACGGGAACTAGAAATAAAATAAAATAAAAAAAAGGTTAAACTCCAATCTTGAGGGCTCCCGCCGTCCGTCGCTAAAGTTTTGTGAGGGAGGTAAATTGAGGGATGTGCCCCAATAGGTTAGGGAACAAGAGTTGTCTGTACACTGCGCCTATAAGGAGTCCAATTTCATGTCTCAGGAATTGAACCCCCACACTGTGACTGTCAGCAAGACGTGAGATAACCTCACTCCTATCCTTTGCACCACTGGACTATCCCTCGAGAGGCGTGAAATAACGGGAACTAATGGGGCCAAATGGGGGCTATAATGCAAAAGACATAATGCAGAAGACAGCTCCGTCAAAGAAATATGATGCAAAGTCTCCTGAATTCAAATTGATTCTATTTAATTCAATTTCAAATTTCTACGTGAATTCGAATATACTTTAGTTGAACGCTTTAAATCTCTAAGAATTCAAGTAACGACCACATTAACTAAAAAATATATTTGTACACTTTTATTTTATTTCCCTGATTTTATTATGTGATCTAAACTTATAACTCACGACTCGTCTCATTATAAATTCACAAGATCATTAAATTATATAAAATACCATAAATAAAATCAACACATATATAAACTTTAAACTACTAAAATCATGAAAATTAAATTAAAGGGTTGCATATAAATTACATTATTTGTCCTAACTAATGATCTAGCTATTCATGCAAATTAAAGAAAAATAATATAAAAATATAGATCTCATAATCGGGTTCTGAAACTTTGATGACTGAAAGAATTTGATTTTGCTTCAAGAATATTCTTCAATCTCAAGTCTTCAAATCCTAAATTTTTGCCATTTGAGTCTAAATAGGAATACCTCGAAAACTTGAATTTCTTCTTCTATTTTAGTGCAGTTTGGTCGTCCACATTAAGTTCTTGTCCGTGGCGAGTCCTCTTTATTTGCATGGCATGTCCTCATTTTCAAAACTTGATTATTTTGGTTTCCAATTCCTCAATTTTGTACCACTTCAATCCAATTTCATCAAAACTTGTCCAATCCGAATTTTACCTAAATCAATCATAATATAATTTAAACTAAGTAGATACCCTCTCAATATAATGATAAATCCATAAGAATAGAAGCCCGAATAAACTCATAAAATGCAATTGTTCCTTTTTCTTTTTTCTTTTTTCTTTTATACAGTGTGGATTAAGTTTGATGCAACCTTTCAAAGCATCACCGAATTTCTTCTGCTAAGGATTTAGGCTCTGACGAATTGGAGGGATTGGCTATATTCATGTTGGGGATTTGATCGTCTAGGGTCGGGGGACTAGAATCCCTGCTACTGATGTTTTAGTTTGGAGGTCGTTACTCTTAGAAATTACATTTTATGCTTCTTCTGTCCTTGCTGGGGAAGGGAAAGGAACGAGTCCAATGGATCTCGGCAAAGCTTGATCCCAAGAATTTATATGTAATATTATTTTATGGAAGAA